CACTGGGAAGTGGTACCATGGGGAGGAAGTGGGAGGGGAGCTGTTGCATTGTGGTAAACTGTGGTCAATGACATGAGACAAAGTATATGTGAACTGCTGTATCAAGAGTGAATTTGCTCTGTAAATCTTCACCCAAATCACAATTTAAAAAAAAAAAAAACTGTACAGATTAGAATTAGGTAATATTGAGGAAGGTGGTTTGTCAGGATTTCAGTATGCACGAGTGTTAAGCATGTAACATTGGTGGTTGGCTGATCGTCAGAAAATGCCCCTATACCCCTCTTTCAGCACTCTGTATCTATATTTGAAAATATTCCAAGACATTCATCGTCAGCAATATGTTGTCACCTAGAATTACCCTGACAAAGAAAACCAACCCCTGCAGAAGTGGTCAACCAAGATCCTAGCACCTGCAACTTTGTAAATATTATCCAGTCAAATATACCCCAAAAATATCCTCCCCTCAATTGCAGTTTTTATCTTTATTAATTTCAAACCCTTCAGCCACTCCTCAGAAGGAAGATTGGGCAATCTACTTCTGTAGTGATATTGCCTCGGAAACCCAAGGAGGGGTCGCTTTGAGTCGGATCCAACTCTACAGCAGTGGGTTTGGATGGTAGCTCCTAGGAGTACTTTGCCAAAAGCAGTTGACTCTGTGTTTCCCCATTTTGCAAAATACTTTCACTGCAATATACTCTACTTTTAATTTTAATCTGACTTGTAGATTTTTCACTCCAACATCTTAACCTCTCTAATTCTAAAGCAGAGTTCAGGACAAAACAGACCCTCAATAATCCAGTAATTTTAATTATCATTCTTTATTATTATGACAACATGAGAGCATGAAAGCTGATCATGGAACTGTAAAATGTATCACATAAAGTTAGGGAAACTATCCAACAGAGGAAGCTGTTGAATCCTGAAAGCAGGATGAGTGTTGCATAATTGTGCTGTGCTAGAGTTCCAGGAACACATGACTTCCCCAAGGGCACCCAACAAAGGGCATCCCGCAAGAGAGCTGCCAACGGAGAAGAGCCTGCAGGGCTCGTGGGTGGAGCTGCTCTTCAGCAACAGTGGGAATGGAAGTGGTATCCCAGCCTTGGTTTCCATTTATAATGGTGATCTGGAGAAAATACTACTGGATGCCCAGCATGAGTCTGGACGGAGTAGCTCCAAGAGCTCCCACTGTGACAGTCCACCTCGCTCACAGACACCACTGGATACGAATAGAGCTGAGACAGATGCCCACAGCATTGGGGAAAAGAACAGCTCGCAGTCCGAGGAAGATTATATGGAGAGAAGAAAGGAAGTTGAAAGCATCTTGAAGAAAAACTCTGACTGGATCTGGGATTGGTCAATTCGGCCTGAAAATA